TAAACGGTGAACATTATCTTAATGTCAATTTGAAAAAAAAGGTTCTCTGCTTAAATTAATGGTAAAGGAAAACAGTGAGCTAACCTAACACAACTTAATTGCAAAGAGTTTAACATTGAAATTTTGTTTCAAGGAGGCTGTGATGTCACTTTTCCAATGTCTTAAAGAGAGGGTAGACTTACTGGTAATTGTTTACAGATGCATGACATTTTGTGAAATCATAGCATTATGGAAGAAGAGGATAATATCATTTTCCAGTTGGCACTTAACAAAATCTCCAGTTGAAGGAGGTGGTTTTTTGGGTACATGCAGATCTTCACCATCTGCAGTATCAACAGTAAACTTATTTAGTTGTCAGTGTTTAAAAAAGGGTATTTTATTGAAACATCAAGGAACAGATGTGTTGTGAAAAATGTTTTGTCTAAACTGATCATCTAAATTATGTTTTTGTCTTGTTGTTGCAGAGTAATTATTTATTGAATAGTATATTATTTATGATGCATATGTAATTTTACAAACGTTTAAATCTTAATCTAGTTTTACAGTTGTGGTTTAAGTAAGTTAACATTCTGTTGTAAATCTAGCACTTGCCTTCTTGGTTTAAATGTAGACCATATTTAAGAATAAATTGAAATGTTCCTACTTTAATTGTGTTGACGAGTTTGTTAGTAACCTGTGGATATAAAAATCTTAATAAAGTAATTATAAGTATTGTGGTTAAGTGCCTTGTCAAAGATTATTCAAGAGTATGTGTGAGTATTCATTTGAAATGGAAGTTTTAAGACTTGAATTAATCTTTCAAGAATTATTTGTTGCAAAGTAAATTGATAAATGTTGAAAAAAAATATCCTCACCAGGCATTTCTTTTTCTCTTGACCTCTGAAATAACAAATGCCATAATTTCACAATTGTTTATTTCAATTTTATTACATAACTATCAAACAATAGAGGGAAAATAACAACACAAATTGATCCCCTTGCTATTATTATGTCTTGTATCAATATGCTTTCTTTTTAGAAAGTGTAACATAACATTCCTTGACCTTATCTGATGTCCATAACTTTTAGTCTGACATTAACAGTAATTGAGTGTAAGAAATTGAAATTTGTCTGTTTTCTTCCAAGCTGGGGAAGCAAAGATATCAAAGTTGTTTCATAATTTAACGATATTCACAAAGGTGACTTACTTAACTTTGTTTTATTTGGCAAGGATTAGTAAGTGCTAGTTACATGGAAGTCTTTACACCTTAATATCAGTATGCATATTCTCCATACTGTTCTCCATACATTTCTAAAGAGGCTGATAAGGAGAATTTGTTTAACAGTCAAGAGCTGCTCTAGTTGGTGATCATCTGTTCTATTCTCATGACTTTCATGTTTGACTCAGGAGTGATCATTATAGTAAGGAGAAGTTAGATGCTAGTCATTCTTAGGGGCCAAAGGATTAATGAGGGGAGGCTTCCTGCACAAAGGTACACTGCACCATAGTTTTATCCTGCTGTCTTACTCATAAATGAAAGAAAATAAATCAATCCTTATCAGGAAAAATTCATAACACTTTTATGCCAACTATCTCTTGAGGTGTAAGGCAGTCTTTTCATTGCCGGATTGTTGAAAATATTACAATCAACTTAAATTCCATGAAATTATCTTGGAAATAATTTTCCTTAAAATTAAGTCTTTACCTCCCTCAGCACTTGTTTGACTTTATTGTAGGAAATGAAAAAAAGGTAAGGTCATCTGCTGTCGGAAAGTCTCTGGCTCTAAGGACAGTAATCAGGTGGTACTCAGGCTCTGTCAGGCTCCAGAGTTTTGTACACTAGAAGTTCTGATTCTCCAAAGTCTTGAGGGTTGTTCCAGTCCAAAGAAACAAACAATGCTTGCTCTGTTTGAGCTTCTTGATATTGGCAATAGTTAAGCATGGCTTTAAAAAGACAACTTGACAATGATTTTTGGTTGAGCATTAAAACAATCTTTAGCATATTCTCAGCACTACTTAAGAAAAAAACTGTAGGGTCGTCAGTTGAGTGATCAGTTAGCCCTCTGATCCTGGGAGTGAAAAGGCCGCACCATGATTTAATGTAGTTAGCTATTGAAGGAGACCAGCTGAGACAAATTTGAACATGGTAATCTTTTTCTTGTCATGGACAGCACAATTTACAATTTTGATTGAGCCTTAATTAATCTAATATCAATAAGGTTTAACAGCAAGACCTTTGTTTTGGTTTTGGTTTGAAAATGTTAAATGAAAAATAGAAACAAAAACAAAAATACACACTTTGAGGTTAGAGAGCAACACAGTCCCAATTGTGCTTTTAATTTATTACTTTGAATCTTTGTGTATTTTTATTTTCAGTAATCACTTGAAGGGCAAAAGAATGCCCATTGCCAAATTTCGACTCAGTGGAAGAGAATGCTTGAATAGATTAGGTTACTTTCTGAAGTCCCAAAGTGCAGTAGCAAACACACTGCAGTATATATTTTACCACTAATTCTTAGAGGGCTGGAAGAAAAATAAAATCTATGGTTGAGTTCTAAACATCTCTTTTCAGGCTTCACTCTGAGCATCCCTTTGAATAGAGCTCCTTGGGTCTAACACAAATATTACAGCAGATCACACTGCCATAGTGCTCTAACAGCTGATATGCAGTTGATCTCTGGTGACACTTTCACACCTTTATTACACTGTGATCATTTGATAAGCTGTCATCACAGACATATCTGACTTGCCCATTCATTTTTGCTGATCATTTGACTTTTTCTTTTTTTGTCTTTTTAATTCGTGCACGAACATTAAAAAAAAATATCTGAAGACGAATGTTTTCCTGAAGAATTCATTTCAAGCAGCCACCACATATGATCACTATTTTACCAAGAGAAAAAACCTTTTCCAATCAGGAGTATTATGTTCGCTCAATTAGAAATAAATTAACAAACCAAACCTCACATGCCTTCGATATTACTCTTTCATCTAGGTTTCAAATAACTTGCCTATAAAGTAATTTGTCAGGAATATGATTAATAAGAGCAGTGCTCAGAAAAAGAATTGTAGGGATATCCTTTCTTGAAGACACTTTTTGATTATTTTGGTTTTTGTTTTTCTTCATCCAATCCAAAGCACTTCAGGGAATTAAACTTCAAACGTCTAACAACTCTTCACCAAAGTGGAGGTGGCTAGTGGTTGATATTTATTCCTGCAACAATTACAATATGTGCGTGGGCAAATCCAGTGCAAGTTGCTCGGAGGTAGATAGCAAAGGCTGTACGGCATATGAGTAGCCAATCAGAGGGTGCATTCGGTAAATATCCTCCACTAGCCATCGAGACCCACCTGAAAAGTTGTTAATTATTCAACGTTTATTAGCACCGAACGTCCTTTTGGGGAACATATATGGCCAACTGTTAAGAAGTCTTTTGGTTTGGGACTATCTGAACTACCAAACAACGTAAACTGCAACTGTAAACTCACACTTGTTTAATGGCTTGGATTGTAATACAACTTGTTAGGCTTAACTTGACAACTCAACTGTTCAGCTGATAACTGCTCCACTGCCTACGAGAATGTTGCTCACGTTCTTTTAAGGTGACCAAGCTAGAACTGACAGGAGATTGGTAGTCGGTCATCAAACTATCACCCGTTATTAATTTATGCTTACGTAGTGCCTTGCACAGTAGGTTGTAACCAAACTGCGCTTGTCCAAAGAGATGATCAGCATAAAGACCTAACATCAAATAAACATCGTCAAAATCTTTTTCATGTTAAAAGGTTCGCTGTCCTTCGCGGGTCTCCAGGCCAAAATAAACGAACGTGAGCAATATAAAAATTACTTGGTACAACTTTAACGAAATTCTGTAACTGTAACATTGATATGTTTACAGAAACACGGTGTAAAGGTAGTTGCGTAACAATAATTTAGAACAAGAGTAAACAGTTCGTATTTGGAGAAGGGCCAACTGATGGTAATGCCTACTTTCCATGAATTAACAGGAAACTAGCAAGTGATTCCAGTCACACTGATGGAATAACATTTTACAAGCTGTAAAACAATAGCCACAATTATTATTAGCTGTAAACATTGGTTTGGCATGGCTTGGGTTAAAGTAGCAAAAAAAAAACAAAACTTCAGATCGTGGTACTAAATCAGTGATTATAAAAATTCCAGGAAGAAATAGCCTGTGAAAGACTGGTATTAGGTCAAATGAGTGAATATCAAAAATAATGACTCGGCTTCTTAATTAAAAGTACCTCCAAAAAGGGAAGATTGTACTTTAAAAACAAATCAGTTCTAGCATATGCATATGAATTTGAAGTAGGTCATTTCCGTGTACCCTAAAACCATACCAAAAACAAATCTCTAAACTACTCCAATGCAATAATTCCCCGCGTTTATACTTAAAAGCCAATGCTGAAGTCGAAGCACTTCCATCAATAAAATACTTACTTGCATTCTAAAATAAACATGAGCAATCATTCAACTACTTGTTTGATATCAACAGTCAACTTATACAACACCTGCCGATGAAAACAGTATACAGGAATATTCTAAGTAAGCTATAACAACCTAAAAATCAAAATACCAATCCAATTAAAATTTAATAAGTTGAAATTAGTTCAGTAGATCCCGTAATCTTAATCTTTAACACTATATAAAGTTTGGCTCCCCATCCTCGCATCTGATTCTGCTGAGTTGCAACCTCTGTACGGAGGGAGAAGCTTTCGATGTTATCATTTCTGACTGAAAAATGTAAACTAATTTTTTCCTGCCCTGATTTACGACTGGTCTCTTTCTTTATTAAACAGGACACTAAAGCTAACCACACTCAGGGCCTACAGTGGCTTCACAGATTTCCTTACTAAAAACACGACTTTTCAGAACTGCTTTGAACAGAGACTCGAGTTTAATTAAAAAGAGCCAGGCATTTTATCCAACTTGGTGCATGAAGTTGCACTGAGTCACATATTACCACAACTAAAGAGCTCTAAAAAAAATATTGGAGGGGGGTTAGGGTGCTAGGCCCTCCGCTGCCTGTGTAGTGTCCACATTTTTGAAACCTAAACTCTTACTTGTTATTAAATTTAAAACCAATATATTTATACGGTTAAATCATGTGTATGTATGCTATCAAGTTGATTATCAAATTTGATAAGTTACAACATATAAAATCAAACCAGTGACTATGGTTTGTTACGATTTGTCAAAGAGCAAGCGGATCAAAAAAAAAATTCTGCCAACTAACATTCATCTTTCGCTATGCAAATAGAGCCAGATTATTTCCAAACTCCTAAATTTGATAAGTTACAACATATAAAATCCAACCAGTGACTATGGTTTGTTACGATTTGTCAAACATGAGCAGATAAAAAAAAATTTTCCTAGTGACATTGATCTTTTGCTATGCAAAGAGAGCCAGATTATTTCCAAACTCCTAAATTTTGATTTATTTCATGCTGTTTGAAATACAGAATAGTACCGGCCATGGCACTGAAAGGGTTTATCACATCAAGATCCATTCCCATGTTAATCTTAACTGACGGACAATGACAATTGTAGTTTTCATTTATCTTCTTCGGGCAGCGACCATCTATGGGTAGAAAAAGAACAACACCATTGGAAACTTCTTGTATTTTGACAAATAAAGGAAATCACCATGCAGTTTGTTTAAAACTCTGACTGTCCTCTTTACATTTTCCTTGTATGATCGATTGTTTTTTTGTTGGCTGGAGTACATTTTGTACTGCTTATACAGTGGCTAGAAAACTCAACAATTTCTATCCACAATGTCTCAAGCCTCTAAAAGACTAAGCTGTGTTATCTTCTTGACGGGAATATGATGTACAGAATAAAGTAAGGAACCTCGTTATCACCTTATTAGAGTTAGTCAGGTGAGTTTTCTGCGTTCATCCTTGAACGCCCATTCCTATGAAATCGCAATCAGGTTCTGGAGCAAAGCCAAACAATGGCGGCCGCAAAATCTCGTATGAAACAGTCCACAAATATAAATCCTGTGGCTTGAAATGAAATGAAATTTGGGAGGGTTTGCAAGAGAGTCATATTGCAATAGAGAATGCAGATGAATGAAGTGTGTAAAATTTGACGTCAAGACTAAGCACTTTAAGAGTGTTAAGAACATTAAAGGAAAATATCAAAACAAGTTATATTTACATTCAGCGGTGACTAGACTGAATCAGTTCCATTTAGCTCCAGAGTGACATCATCCCCAATGAGAACAAATGGTGCCCAGTACTTTACTTCCCCGAACTCTTCAGACTCTCTCATACATTTCATGGCTTGGTTAAGAGCTTCACTGACCCTCCTTCCTTTAACTAGTTCTTTATACAAATGTTTCATGAATCGGAAAGTGGCTTCGTCATCAATTCCCCAGAGGGACACCAAAACGGAACGAGCCCCAGCACCTAAAAATGCTCGAGAAATACCAACCACTCCCTCAGCCTTTATTTCTCCATGAGCACTATGACAGCAACTCAACACAACCAATCTTGCCCGCAACTTAGCTTCCAACACATCCGCCATCGTCAACAAAAAGTCTTTCTCCTCAGGATGATGGGATTCCTCAGCAGGGTTTGGGGCCAAAATAATTTCTCCTGTATCCATTTTGCCATGTGCAGCGATGTGCACTAAAGCAACCGTGGACAGTCGCTTTAATACTTCTCCTTTAGTCGCCATTTTTCCAATGAGGGGAGCGGTTCCTAGGATTCTTCCAATCATCTCAACTTCTTTCTTTGCATATGGCAGCTCGCACAACTTTCTCCCTTTATAGAGAACTTCCTCTAGGTACGGATCTCCCACGAGAAGGGCACCTGTCTTACTGTGGAAGTCAGCTGGACAATCAGTGATTAATTTCAAAGTAGTCAAGGACGGAATCAATCTGATCTTTAGAGACTCACACAGATACTCCTGCTTTGGGGTCATCAGTGCTGCATAGGGTACCAAACATAATGGACCTTCTGGAACGAGAATGAGGTCATTTCCATGAACCAGGTCAGCAACAGGAGCGAAGATAAGGTCAAAAAAGCTCTTTAGGCTTTCCTTTGGTGAAAGAGGCTGAGAAACACTGACAGGGGCCCTTTCAGTCGTACACTCCACCTCACGTGACTCATCAAGCGAGCGATTTTCGATTTTAACACCAGTAGGTACACCGATTTCGTCCAAGGCAGTACGGTTTAGAGTCGAAAGGAAAGTTCTCACGTCTTCTTCTGAAACATAGTCTCCTACCTCTCTTCTCCTCAAGGTGACTTCTTCATCTTTCCTTATAACCCAGAATATGATTTCTTGCCTATTGAGAGCTATGAAAACTGTTGTTGAAGGAATAGATCGAAGGGAGGAACCAGTTGACTTAAATGAAGAATGAGACCAGGAGTACTTCTCTTGACACCCATAATTTTCTTCTATGAGATCTTTGAGAGCCTGTGCCCGTCCATCCTCAGCAACACGCAAGGCATCATTAACTTCACCTTGGCTTAAATGGAGACGCCAGAAACTATTGTATACCATATTATATGTCTCACGGTAGCTAATTTTCCATTTCTCTTTAAACTGGAGATGATCCCTTATTTCATTCAGCCTCGACCAACTGGAACTAAAGCAATCAAGGGCACGCGAAAACGATCCTCTAACTTCAAAGACTTTACCAAGATTATACAGAGATGTTGCAATCCCAAATTTGTCTCCCAATTCTTTCGCTGTCTGTAGATTACGCTCAAGGTATAAAATTGCTTTATTTAGATTTTTAAGCATAAAATATGTATTGCCAAGATTTCCATAAGCCCGTCCTTCTCCAGCTTTATCCCCCACTTCTTTTGAAATTTGTAGATGACGCTCATGGTACTGGATCGCCTTATGAAAATCGCCTAAGCTCGCAAAGGCATTGCCAAGATTTCCATAAGCAGTTCGTTCTCCAGCTTTATCCCCCACTTCTTTTGCAATTTGTAGACGACGCTCATGATACTCGATTGCCTTATGAAAATCGCCTAGGGTCTGATAGGCATTGCCAAGATTTCCATAAGCTCGTCCTTTTCCACTTTTATCCCCCACTTCTTTTGCAATTTGTAAACGACGCATATGGTACTCGATTGCCTTACGAAAATCGCCCAGGCTATCATAGACATTGCCAAGATTTCCATATGCCCCTCCTTCTCCAGCTCTGTCCCCCACTTCTTTTGCAATTTGGAGGTCAACCTCATGGTACTCGATTGCCTTATGGAAATCGCCTAAGCTGTCATAGGCATTGCCAAGATTTGCATAAGCCCGTCCTTCTCCAGCTTTATTCCCCACTTCTTTTGCAATTTGTAGGTGACGCTCATGGTACTGAATTGACTTATGAAAATCACCTAAGCTATCATAGGCATTGCCAAGATTTCCATAAGCCCGTCCTTCTCCAGCTTTATCCCCCACTTCTTTTGCAATTTCCAGGTCACGCTTGTGGTAATCGATGGCCTTATGAAAATCGCTCAGGCTCTGATAGGCATTGCCAAGAATTCCATAAGCCCGTCCTTCTCCAACTTTATCCCCCAATTCTTTTGATATTTGTAGGAAATGCTCATCGTACTCAATTGCCTTATGAAAATCGCTTAAGCTCTGATAGGCATTGCCAAGATTTCCATAAGCCCGTCCTTCTCCAGCTTTGTCCCCCACTTCTTTAGCAATTTGTAGGTCATGCTTATGGTGCTCGATGGCCTTATGAAAATCGCCTAAGCTATCATAGGCAATGCCAAGATTTCCATAAGCCGCTCCTTCTCCAGCTTTATCCCCCACTTCTTTTGCAATTTGTAGATGACGCTTATGGTAACTTAGTGCCTTAGAAAAATCGCCTAAACTATCATAGGCAATGCCAAGTCTTCCATAAGCCCATCCTTCTCTAGCTTTGTCCCCAACTTCTTTTGCAATTTGTAAATGACGTTCATGGTACTCAATGGCCTTATGAAAATCGCCTAAGCACTGATAGGCACTGCCAAGATTACCATATGCCCGTCCTTCTCCATCTTTTTCTCCCACCTCCTTTGCAATTTGTAGACGACGCTCGTGGCACTCAATTGCTTTGTGAAAATCGCCTAAGCTAAAATAGGCACAGCCAAAATTTCCATAAGCCCCTCCTTCTCCAGCTTTATCCCCCACTTCTTTTGAAATTTGTAGAAGACGCTCATGGCACTCGATTGCCCTATGAAATTCGCCTAAGCTCAGGTAAGCATTACCAAGATTTCCATAAGCTCCTCCTTCTCCAGCTTTGTCCCCGACTTCTTTTTCAATTTGTAGATGACGCTTATGGTACTTAATGGCCTTGTGAGAATCGCCTAAGCTATCATAGAAAATGCCAAGAATTCCATAAGCTTGTCCTTCTCCAGCTTTATCCCCCGCTTCTTTTGCAATTTGTAAGTAACGCTCATGGTACTCGATTGCCTTATGAAAATCGCCTAAGCTCTGATAGGCAATGCCAAGGTTTCTTAAAGTCTCTCCCTTTCCAGCTTTATCGTTGGGTTTTAACTTTCTTGTATTCTGCAAACTGCCAGCTACCCTCCAATATGACAAAAGAAAAAATAGTTTTCGTGAGAAGAAAATAGAGATAATCTAGCGATCATTAATGCACAAAAAGTTCTTTCCCTTATTCCAAATGAAGATTCTTATCTGAATTTAACTTTTCACTTTTAGTCATTCAAAATATCCGTACAATCAAATGTAAATGACATTTTTATTTAACAAATGTAGCTGGATAGGTTGTATTGAGTTTGACCCTGGATTAATTTTAGTGAAAATGCTGTTCCGGTCTTTGCCCATGGTTTATCCCCATACTATGGAAAAAGAATATTTTCGAGATATCCTTTTCTCCAATTTGTCTTAAGGCTGGTTTTCACCAGCGACAGAGTCGGAGTCGTAGTCGGAGTCGTAAGAGCACTTCCAACCGAGTGAAACTGAAAATCGTGGTCGTAAGCGGAGTCATAAGCTCAACGGAATCGGAGCTCGGAATTGGGTTTGGAGGAATCAGAACGGTTTCATTTTCTTCCGATCTAGCCTTTGACACTAATGCCTATGATCAGTGAAAACTTGATTGTTGGAGTTGAAGGCAGAAGCAGAAGATCGAACCGGCTTGATTTCAACTTGATCGTGTTACTCTGCACTGCTCAATAACGACTTCGACTTCGACTCCGTGATAAATGAAAACCAGCCTTTAGATTATGCCTTATTATTAGTCGTTAATCTTCCCACAAAGGAAATTGATGTTGAAGTGAAAAAATTATATCTAAATCGCCCGTCACAGTTTAAGGATCAGTCATAACAAATGTTTTGTTGCCCCCTCCACTTACATTCCACAGAGCACCATAACCTAAACCAGCATATAAAAATAGGTCTTAGTAGACCTGATGGCCGTAAATAAGTTTAAAAGATGGGTAGGCAGCCAGGTCATCACGGACGCGTAAGACCGGGATCTATTCAGTTTCCCGGGCGTCCTTGGAATACTGCACGAACCTTAACGCAACTTGTGAACTGGGAATAGGTTCATACATCTTATACCCCATTCACATCAGCAAAACATGTTCAGTTCAACTTTACTTAATCTAATTCGTTGCAAACGTATATACATAAAAAAATCAAATAAATGAACTCAAATTTAATTTTGAGTAAGAAGATGAGTATTTTTAATAGAAATAAGTTTAAAATGTGTAGCCCTCCCATTCCCATTTATATGAACTTACACTCCGCTGCTTAGAGGTTTATAAAAAGAAAAGTTTTTGAATTATAAAATGCTAAAAGTATTCATTTAAATGTGTGAATTGAATTTATACTTTTAGTATCCGTTGACAATTTGTTCTAAGCAAGGATAGACCCTTAGTAAAAGAAATATTTTTAAAAAGTTTCGACCGATTCATCCGGCTGGTGACCATAAGTTTTCTGCACTTCTTGTTTTTCAAATTACAGGTTTGCATTTCGCAAACTACAGATTTCCATCTCGGAAATTACAGATTTTCATGTCGAAAGTTTCAGATTTTAAGTTCATTTCACAAATTACAGACTTCAATTTCGTTTCGTTTTCGCAAACTATGAGTCCCCGTTACGAATCAGCGAGACGATTAAATGATGACATCAAAACAACTGAGGCAAGACTGCTTGCGGACGCCAAACGAGCGCTCTGGAATGTTAGGAAAGTGGTACGTCCGAGCAATCAAAATTTTTGGTAAATTTCCCTCACTTCGCTTCCAAGAAAAAATGTTTAAAACCTCCAAAAGCACCCGAGTTATTTAGAAAAACGTAATTTCAAATAAAAGTTAAATAAATCAGGAAAGTGTCATAATCTCGTACGTGGGCGAGTCCCGTGGGGGAGTTTTTTAAAAGGCAAACGATGCCTTGTGAATAAGACTCTGCAGCCATTTTGCTCGTGCGAGGGCATCCGATACTCGATAAACTCAATAGAAGAACCCTCAGTCGCTTCCCACCTTACCGGCTCCTGACACTTCCTAAGGGAAAACTCGCTTAAATTATATTATTTATCATAAACTGCATTTATTAAGCTTTCTTCTGATGTATAGTTTGCTAGGATTTTAGAGAAACTAGCTCGCGTACGAATTTTTTTCACGAAGGGACACACGCAGGTGGGAAGCAACCATAAACAAATCAGAGCGACTTTGCTCTTAGTCTGAACTGCGAGAACTCAGAAGTGGCCCATTTTACTTTTCTCAGTCGATTATCATTACAAATAAGTACCAAGTCTTTCAATACTTTTCTATATTCTAGTGGTAACAGAGAAAGATTGCGAAGCTAAAGAAACTTCGTATAAATAAACTTCCCTTAAACCGGGCTTAACCGAATGTAAATCAGAAACAGAGAACTAAAAAACTGAATTTCCGTAGGAGATTCTATTTGTGCTACATTTAAAGTCGACAAACCTTCATTTAAGCAGCTCCTATGACGAAAAATATTTTAAATATTTTTCTTCATATATTGTTCTTCATATTTTTCTTCTTTCTTCAAACCTTACCCAAGAGCTAAAGATGTTAAAGCTTTGTTGTGAATAGGGTATAAAACTGTTACTGGCTAATGATGCATCACTTTAAGCAAAATGAGGTGAAAGTATCCACCTCAAGATGGCAGACTACACTGCGGTTTTTCAGTTCCGGTTGGACTCTCACTAACAGCTCTGAGACTATGCAATATTTGCGATATCATTAAGCTTCTTGTTTCTCCATCTTCATGTCGTTGTTCTAATTTTACTTTCAAAACAAAGATTTTATTGTAGAAAAAAGCTAATGTTCATATTCAGGGTTTCAAACCTGGAGAGCTTTCTTGTTCACGACCTCGATCTGTCTCGCCTTGAGGAACCTCCATAGCTGATAAAGGAAAACAAAGGAAAATATTATCTTTCTTCCCCGAGCGCTTCAGCGATCAGTTCATTTTCCAAATTTATCAGTTGAACTTCAATTTAAACAAACCACAATACAAAAGAAAAAATCGGAGGTTTCTTTGCACACCTTAATCTCTAATAAGCTTCAATCCTTGATTTCATGCCTTACATAACGATCTTATGCTCAAATTAGAGAATTTAGCTGCGGCTCAATTTGAATAGACGTACGTACAAAAAAGGAAAATTCCCAGCTGAAAGCGACCAGAGCCAGAGGGAATTTCCCCTCATTAAGGGAAAATGAAAATAAAACTCATGACTTGGATTTAACGCAATCAATATTCCAGAGAAAGAAAGAGGGATGCCCTCTCGATTGCAATGATTTAGAAGTTTCCACCCGCCTCCTTTGATTATATCTATCTGTTCCACTTACCTATAGCTCTTGCAGAAAACATTGCGAAATAAAAAACCGAGTTAATTTGTAAACTCTTAATACGAGTCGATGTGACTGTATAAACGGTCAAATCAAATTATGAACGTCTACACAACGCGAAACACACTTACATGCGTTAGACATGATTAACAGCCGACAAATAAAAACGGAAGATTTATGAAGATAAACAACCTAAGGAATTATTACAACCGCTTGATCAACATAACACACCTTGCTTCCTTGAGTTCACGACACGCTTAGTTTGTTATGAAAATGGTTCACATGCAAGCATAGCGAACTCTCGAGCCGAATTTTTCACAAGTACGTCTCTTTCCAAAGGTTTTGACAACAGTTTTAGCGCTCTGCTGTTTCTCATCGAATTTTTTCCCGAAGGACCAAACGAAGGTAAGAAGTAACGATGAGAGCGACTTTGCTCTTAGCATCGTCCTTGTGCCGTAATTTCGGCACCAGATCATTGAACCTCGGAAGTGGCCAACAGGACTTTACTCAGTCCGATTATCATTAGAAATAAATACCAAGTCTTTCAATACCTTTCTGTAGTGGTAACAGAGAAAGTTTGTGTAGCGAAATAAACTTCGTAAAAATAAACTTCCTCTAAACCGGGCTTAACCGAATGTAAATAAGAAAGAGATAACCAAAAAACTGAATATGTGCTACATTTGAGGTCGACAAACATTGGTAAGAGCAGCTCCTGTATGAAGAAATGTTTGACAAAACAGCTTTGAAACATGTTTATGCTTTGTTGTGAATAGGACAAAACCTGTCAATGGTCAGTGATGCATGACAGCAGATTAGCTGGCAGTTTTTTTCCGGTAAGGCCCCAGCTAATGGCTTTGAAAGCCATGCAATATTTGCAGCATGATTAAGCTTCTTGTCCCTCCATCTTCATGTTGTTGTACTAATTTTCATTTTAAACAAAATCGAATGTCATTATCATTATTTACAGTTAACTTGCAAATAAGCGTAGCTCTACTCTAAGCATGAAAGATTTCATTGCAAAAAAGAGCTCATGTTCATATTTAGTGTTTTCAAACCTGAAGAGCTGTCTTGTTCACGATCGTGATCTCTCTTGCCTTGAGGAACCTCCTTAGCTGAATAAGAACACAAATAAAATATTATGTGTCTTCGCCGAGCGCTTCAGCGATCAGTTCATTTTCCAAATTTATCAGTTGAACTTCAAGTTAAACAAGCCACAATACAAAAGAAAACATCGGCGGTTTCTTTGCACACCTTAATCTCTAATAAGCTTTATTCCGTGATTTCATGCTTTACATGACAATCTTTAGTGCAAATTAAAGAATTTAGCTGCGGCTCAATTTAAAAATAGCCGTAAATATAAAAAGGGAAAATTCCCAGCTTAAAGCCACCAGAGGCAGCGGGAATTTCCCTTCATTAAGTGAAAATGAAAACGAAAGTCATGACTTGGATTTAACACAATCACTGATATTCCAGAGAGAGAAAGGGGGATGCCCTCTCGATTACAGTGATTTAGAAGTTTCCCCCCGCGTCCTTTGATTATTTCTATTGGTGCCACTTACCTAAAGCTATTACAGAAAACATGGCGAAATATTTTTAAAACCGAGTCAATTTGTAAACTCTTTAATACGAGTCGATGTGACTGTATAAACGGTCAAATCAAATTATGAACGTCTACACAACGCGAAACACACTTACATGCGTTAGACATGATTAACAGCCGACAAGAGAGACAAAAGCGGTAGATTTGTGAAGACAAGCAACCTACGGAAATATTGCAACCGCTTGATTAACATAACAACACCTCGCTTCCTTGAGTTCATGACACGCTTAGTTTATTCTGAAAATGGTTTACATGCCAGCATAGCGAGCTACCGAGCCGATCTTTTCACAAGTACGTCTCTTTCCAAAGATTTTGACAATAGTTCATGCGCTCAGAAGTTTCTCATGGAGATTTCTGACAAAACGAAAGGTAACGACCTCGCGCTCGAATGTTTATCGAACATCCTGAACCCTTACGTTATCGTCAGACTAGACTAACTTAATCTTGCTTCGCTTTTGGTATTTATTAGAATTACATACCACTGTATACACGATGATTGATATACTGAAGCAGGTTGTTCGGGGCATCTCTGCTATTGAGGGTACTGCAAACAACGACTGTCATCAAAATATCTTCTAAACTGCTGCACTTAGTCTAACCTGGAACACAGAGGTAAGGATTCAACCAATCCGTTACTCGAAGTTCTTGGGAAAATTCACCCACAGCTAAAGTTTTTTTTCTCTCGACTAAGGCGTAAAACTAAATGGTTTGTAGGTAACTGTGGAGCACTTTTACAATCGAGAAGAGGCGGAAGACGAATGACCTTCGATTGATCGCTTCCTTTGATTCCTAGAGTTTAAATATGTAATCGTGACGTTAGCTTAATTCAAATAATCACATGACTTGGCAACGGAATTTAAATTTCCTTACTGTCACGCGACCATTTGTTGAGGTCTTTGCCTTAATTTACGCTTACATTCCTCTGATCCCTATATTTATTTAGTGGGTAAATTTGATTTACGTTTGTTCATGATTGTCCGAAGATAAGTTAAATAAGAATAGAGAGAAGCAAAGGACCAGGCAAGTTAAAGTCGATGGTCACGATTTCCTGATCCCTCTTTCGCGTACTTCCATCAACCAAGTGCGTGACAAGATTTAAGGTTAACATCAGCCCCTCTCCTCCCTCCCCCATTCTCCCTACCCATTGAAATAAATGAAGCATTTAAAGGATCCTACCCTTTTCTTGTTATAAAGTTGCACACTGAATGCGTGACTGGGTTCACAGGTAGTCCAAGCTCGCACAGTGAGCCTCCTTGTTTTAGCCGACGAGAGAAATGTGGGGATTTGTCCGAGAATGAACCGGTTGCATTTTTAACCCAGAAATTTGAAATAGTTTTGAATAAAAACAAGCTTCACTTGTCTCTATGTTGTTTGTTCAGTTGAATCTTGTGAGTTTCTTTTGGGCTGCTTTACGGTCGTATAACTAGTTTTTATTCCCTCTCTTACCTCTCTAAACAGCAAGCTAATTGGCTTCAAAGCAGCCTCGAAAATTCGAAAAAAGAGGGGGTGTTAACTTTGTTTTTAATCAGAACAGAGTCAAACTTTTGAGTTGAGAATACGACCATCCCTTCTGATGCAAATCCTTAAAGTTCCACAAGCCTAACATACTGTAAGCTCATGGGTTATACACTTCGTAAGGGGTTTTAGGAGGGCTTATAAACAGGAGGGCTTATACCTTAGGGGTCGCAAAACTGGAAAAGAAAAAGCTATAGTGTGCTTATCAAAATACGTTTAGCAGTTACTCGTTTTTAATTCAGCTTTAAAAAGTTATAACTCAAATTAATTTCAATACATTGGGAACAGAGTTAATACTAGCAACAAAAACAAAACTGTAAATAAAAAACTAAAGTTCAGACTTTTCTCTTGAAGTTCATCTTTGCTCTTCTATCACTGAAATTTCCATGTCCAAGTCACAGCACCAGGGCTTACCAACTTTGATACTACAAAAACAAGAAAACAAGAAAAGCTATTGGTGGGCTTTTATGGGGGGCACTTATGAGCAGCAGTTTACAGTATTTATATATTTACAGACAGACTCTTATTGTACAAGCCTGAGCTTCCTGTGGTGTGTTGGAGTGTAAGTGGGGTTTTGTACTCCTTTCTGTTACAAGAACCAAGTGAGGTGAAATGAGCCATGGGCATTTTTAATTAATAACATGCTCTTTCCAAAAGCTCAGCAAAGAGAGTCACAGTAAGAAACAAATCATTATCAGCATCGCACAGTAGAACTGCCACTCTGACATCTCAGCAACAGAGGACAGAGACACTGAGACACAAACATTAAAGCTATTGGATTTCAGATGACAACCAAGTGTCATGATTAGAATTTAAAAGTTTGAAAACAAGCCACCAATGGATGAAACTTGACTTTTTCATGATCATATACCCAGTAATCTTTTCAATGCCTGATATTTTTGTGGTTGAACATGTTCATGGGTTCAACTACCCAACACATTGCCTTCTACTTCAGTTTTAAAATAAAATCTCACTTTTTGAAAACTGGAAATGTACAAAGGAAATGACATTACCATATCTGGGGTGACTAAAAATGGAATCATAAAATGGTCACCATTTTAGAATAAGCTTTATACTAAGTATGAGTAATTGTCACATATTTCACATTGACCATAATTTGCTTTTAATTCATCAATTCTACAATGATGTTAGTTTTTCCAAGTAACTAAAAAATAAAAACAAATTAAAAAAACTATAAAATTGTTGAATTCAAAACGAGCACAGAGACTCCCAATACATTCTTTTCAAGTATCCCAGACAAAAAGGGAGTGGGTCCCCCATGACATCTTCTGTCTCTGAACTTTGCTGCAATAGGTGCAGTTCTCCTTTTTCAAGTCTCTATACTTAAATTCTCTTTGCCTGCAACAAAAATAAATCATCATATAAGAAGAAAACTTTAGAGAAATAAAAAATTGAAAAAATATGATAAATTTTTTTTAATGATAAGAATCCCTATTTTACTAATACCTTGTTAGCAAGTAAAAAAAAGGCCAGGCACACTAGGTTTTCTATCATTTGAACATTAACTCACTCTACTACTCAAACCCCAAATAGTAACTTGGAACTAATTTCACCTTACAATATCATCCCTTAATTAAACATTAAGGTCATGAAAATAGATGAAATGATTACTACCGAAAAAAGCTCTTAATTGTTGAGCAAATTCTCCTTGTCAAAAAAAAAAGAAGCTTTTGATTGCTGAGCAAATTCTCCTTGTCAGAAGACAAAGAAAAAAATATGGAGAATATGCATATATAATAATGTTAGAGTGTAAAGGGTTAAAAACAGACAATAGGGAATGTATGTGTATAGATTAGGGATTCTATGATAGCATTGTTCTTGTGCGATTTCCTTAGCTGTTGGTGTGTTCTTGCAGGAACTGGCACATGTGAGCACAGTGGAGCAGATCGAAAATGTATATAACAGCATGACAGCATAACAGTTACATGAGTATCATCTTCCAAATATGATGAATTTAATTTCTTTTCTCTATTGCTCAATTCTACAAATCTAATTTAATCACTCATGTTTTTCTGAGGGAAATCCCATGAGCTCAAGTACATCTCTTAATTTAAAGGCATGAGTGATGTTTAAAAAAGCTTTGGTTAATAAACTAGCCATTGGAGTGCTGTTTGGAAAACTTTCAAAACATATAATGAGTAACCATAAATTATGAAATGTCAGAGCTGATTAATATGTTTTTACATATGATATGTTCTAAACAAAACCTCATACAAATACTGCTCTTTGTACATTCCTAGAGCACATTCCTCAAAACATTTTCCACCAGTTAGAAAATGAAATAAGATAATTGTATTGTTTGATTTGATCACTCATTAGAATGCAGAGGGTGATGGACCCATTGAATTTTTATGTTATCTTTCAACTGCTGAAACGTTTAGTGTTGTTTTGTTATCTTTAAAAGCTTTAATTTCAAGCCAGTGTGTAGCATGGAAATCCTGTGTTGCACTTAACAAGTTATTTTTCAATTCATTAAAAATAGACCAATCAGGAATGAAACACTTTGTTTTGGTATAATGACTATCGTTAGATTATTTCAGGTAGGTGGTATTTGAATTTAAGAAAAAGTATGGAAGTCCTGTCTCTTAGTGACTTACTGTAGTCTCTCATTTATCTTGTTTTGGTTTGTTGATGACTGTTTATTAAAATTGGAGGGAAAATAACAAAAAAGGACACTAACAATTTGACAATGAAAAGTTAAACCCCATCTCTCTCTCACTGTAGGACACTGAGTACCCACTGATAAAAGGATGAACCTGATTAATTCTGATTAAAGCTGACTCATTTGAGGGTGTAAGAGTTGGTTTGAGAGTACATGTTTAAGTAAAATGATACTGCTGCACATTATGGAATACAGATCACAAAGCTGAGATGTATAACCCTCTCTTTCTTTCTTAGGATGCCTTGTGCATTTGTGATTGTTAGATAAATATCAGTGCAAACATATTATATATTTCTAAGTGTATAGGTGCTGTTAACAAAACAGCCCGATTTAAGCTAACGATTAAAGACTCTTCGTGATCTGCAAAACAACACAACACTATTTTCGCACGTGAGGTAATAATTAAAGCGCAATATTTAATAGTGTCGAAACAGTCGATGATTCTAAAGCTTGGTTTGGAATATTGGAGGCTGAAAACTGTACCACTTTCAAGGTTTATTTACAACACGTTGTTAGAAAGCTCGCTTTTTGAAAAAAAAAACAGGTATGACAAGAGAGAATTATAACACATGTCAGATTCTGGCAAGGCTCGATTCCCAACCGCGGGGATCATCAGATCTAGTCTTAATCACGTAAATTCGGAGCTGATACCTATTTGCATGCATATTGAAAGGGCGGAAAAGAACAGAGTTCATCAAATAAATTCCGTAAACCTGTTTTCCGATTCGAGCTGTTGGAGACATCCCCTTGCGAAATGGCTTTTGGAATTCCTAGGAATTCCTAGGATTTTCCTAGGAATTCCTAGGAATTTATTCCTAGGAATTCCTAGGAATTCCTAGGAATTCCTAGGAATAAAGGTGTGAATTTTCACGGTAAATTCGGACTGGGAATTCCTAGGAATTCCCAACCATAACAACTCTGGTTCTAAAAACCTAGAAATTCCTAGAAATTCCCAGAAATTCCCAGAAATTCCCAGAAATTCCAAGTTTATAGCCAACAGGACTTGGAATTCCTAGGAATTCCTAGGAATTCCTAGGAATTCCAACTCAGAGAACCAATGACTTTCCCTGAAAAGCTGTAAATCTAAAAAATTCCTAGGAATTTCTGGGAATTTCTGGGAATTTCTGGGAATGTTTGGGAATTTTTAGGAATGTTTAAGAATTACTGGGAATTTTTAGGAATGTTTAAGAATTACTTGGAATTTTAAGCAAAAATTTGAGGCTAATGATATAAAATAAATACTTTAAATTAAAAAAACCCAGCTAAAATTCAAGTATTCAATGAAATTTATTTAGAAGCTTAATTTAAGGCTTACATGTAAAATATTTTTGATTAATTATTAACATCAATGTGTGGTAATATTAGGATGGAATTTGATTTATTTTTCTTTTCTTGAAAACTTCATACGGATTAATCCTCATTACAGCTATTCATATAAAATAGTTCTAATCAATCATTAAATTTGGTTTGACACAAATTGTGAATAAAATCTGTTGATTCGTTTCCATAAAATACAATATCTTAAGTTATATTTGAAAACCAAGCACTCTTGGGAGTGAAGGGGCTAATTACAGACAAATAAAATTGATTTTTTGATTAAAATCTTGTTTTAACCGTAACAATAAATTAGAATGAAGTTATCCTAAACTGCAAACTTAGCTGCTGTTTGTACTGTTTGTATTTTTTTTCCTGGGCTCACAATGAGTTGGCCTTGAATGAGGTTGTCAACAAGATCCCTGACCATTTTGTATCTGGATTCCTTGACATCTGAATTTGAAAAAAAATAATATATTAAAATATGTATATTTAAAGCTCAGACCAGGCTTTTAAGATGGCTATGAGGAAAAGGGCATTCATTGGATTCTCAAATTGAGAAATCTCTGTTATATTGAGTGACTTTCATATTGGAGTTAGTACATCTCTCTCATGGATTTTACTAAAAAAGGGCTGAATACATTATTTTGTTTTTACCAAGGAGGGCTTCTTTATGTACTATAAGGTTTGTTTAATAACAGTTCCTATTTTGAATCTTGAATGTTCCCAAACGTGACTAGAGGAATCTTGAAACCTTACTGATAGGTTTATTTCATTGTAAAGCATAATAAGCTTAAGAAACTGCGGCATGCAAGTGACCGATTCGATTCTCAGAATTATTCTAGTTTCAGTTGCGCCGAGCGTTATGTAAGCTTAATTCAACCCGCTACATCTATTCTTTTATAAGATTTTGATCACGTAACGAATATCGCAATTTTTACTCACCACAAACTTTCAAAATCGTAGCTTTACAGACGGCCATTCGACCCTTGTTTGTACCAGTCAACATGTCAACTGTTGCCCCTTCTTTTAACTCCACGGCGCCAACGACTTTCTTTTCTTTTACAACACTCACGCTATTCTCGTTTTCCCATTGAACCACAATAAAAGCTATCTTTAGAAATGTTATATTAAGCAAAACAGTTGAGAAAAGCGATCAACCGATGAAAAGTACATTCAAAGATGAGCGCCAAATGGAGTCTTCTTTGTTTCCGATCACGGGCATGATCACGTGGATCTTTTAGGACTTGTCATTGGCTAGCAGAGTGAATCCGCTGGCTTGCCGATTGCAGTGTTAGGAGAAGTGCCCAACTACATTCTGACTTCTCCGACCGGTTCTCTGCTTCTAGAAGATGGATAGCTTGGTGATATAAATAAAGATGTGAGCTCACTCTATGTAGAAATAATCGACAAGAATCGATCGTATTACAAATGCTCGTTTTGTGGCCGAAAGTTGTCGAGGAAACAAAGACTCGAAACTCACTTGAGTTGTGTTAATGGCAAAGGTGAGAAATAACACAAGCCAATCACAGTTTTGAATGCGACTACAAATCGTCTTTTACCCTCATATTTATAAAAGAAGGATACCACATTCGGAAGTATAAGAGATACATAGATGATCCCAGTGTACCAGTACCTAAATCTACAAAGCTTGACCGTAGAAAGCGTTCAGCAACACGTTCCAACACCGCCATCTCGATTCCTCAGTCAGTCGTTTCCACTGAACTTAAAGCAGTATTGACAACAGAGTAGAGTGCGTCTTACAAAGGAGAAACATTTGTACAAGAGACAGAAGTAGCTATATGCGATTACAGAGGTGCGTTGGAACTCTGGTCCACAAATAGTTATGCACTGCCCGAAGTATAAAACAATTTTGTTGATAGCTGACAGACAGAGAAGAACAACAAGTAAACTTAAGAGCTGTTATTATTGAAGTGTGACTAGCACTTTTCATTTTTATATAAGGAAGGACTTGTAATTTGCACCAAAAATAAAAAGATGTAATGTTTTTTGGGAGATCAGTGATTGGGACATTTAAGAAATTAAGTTATGAAAGGAAACTTAGTTGGTATTTCTCACTACTAACAAGTCTTGTTGACAAATATTTTCAGATCAGAGTTTCAAATAAAGTAAATTGAAGATGTCATATAAAAGGTGTTTTTCCTCAAAGGGAACATTGACTACCTCTGTCTTGTCTGCATGCCAAATGTTTGCAAAGTGTGTGGATGATCCACAAGTATTGGAACTCTTACAAAAATGTTTTGTAAGAATAAAAACAGCAAAACAAATTACAGCAATTAGTCATGAAAATAGAGCTAAAAACTGAAAAAAAAACAGCAACAACAATCATAAAAAAAGAAAG